GTAAGATGTGATGGATAGTTTATTAGAGATAAAGTATGATGTGATACGTAGGGTATGAAAAAGTAAGGGTAAAAGTGGTTTTTTAATAGAAAGTGGAAGTGTTTTGTTGGAAGTGAAAAAATGACAGATGAAGTGTTTTTGAGAACGGGGGAGTATAATTTGATACTCCGTATTATTTTTTTAATTTTGTCCTTACATTATAACAAAAGTGAGATATAATATGTAAAATAGATGAGTCATAATTATGAAATAATATCTAAATTACTCTTTTCTAAGACACACATTTTTCGTCATTGAAAAGTTTTATGGGACGGAAGTATCATTATTATTATTATTATTATTCTCACTACTACCATTATTATTACTATTATCACTAGTATTCTCACTCCTACACTATTATTGTTATTATTATTATCATTATTGTCATCATCATTATTATATGAAGTATTTTTTAGAACGTGATATTTTAAAGTGAAATTTGCACTAAATAGAACTAAAACATAATGACTTTCCTAATTTATGACTTAAACTTTTTTATTCCCTAAATAGAACTTAATAATGTCTTAGTGGAGGAATAATATCCAGTAATGATGGACATTTACTTGAATAATGACTAATTAATAATGACCAAAACTCCTACATTGGGAAATAAAAACATATGGTCTTGGGAAAGTCATTATGTTTTAGTCCTATTTAGGTAAATTACTCTATTTTAAAAGGGTAAATGTTATTCCTAATAGAATCTATTAGTAATATTATATGTTTATGCATAAATTAACGTTAGTTTTTCGCATTAAAAAAGTAAAGTTTCATAAATACTAAACTCATATATACGAGGCTTTGTTTTGTTGGTGCATGCAGTTAGACAATTGGGTACTTTGTAGGGTTTACGAGAAAGTGGACGTCAAAAATGGCAAAAAGAAAAAGGACAACGACAACACAGACGAGGGATCCGAAATTGACGAGGACGTTGATGAAGCTGGGGGTGGCGATGGCAACGACGATCAAAACGATCAGAAGCCGGTGGTGGGGGACCGATCCAATCCTCCCACCGCCCCAGTCCCAGTCTCCGCTGGTCCCATAAGGATTGTCTCCAGCCAGAACCAGAACCAAAACCAAAACCTACCACCCACGTATGGTTTCTTGAATCAGGCGGTAACGCCCTTCCAGCATCACGAGAAGTCCGTGGTGAGGGATCGATCAAATAATTCTTCCGTTTTCGTCCCCACCCCTTGCCTCGCCCCTGCCACTGTCCCCGCCGATCCCATAAGGATTCTTTCGAACCCGAACCAGAACCAGAACCTGGATGGCGTGTACGATCTCATGAATCAGGCTGCAACGCCCTTCCGGCATCATCACAAGCCGATGCTGGTGGACCGACCCAATTCACCCGTTCTTGCGCCTGTCCCCATCGACCCCATACGGACTTCCCCGATTCAGAACCAGAATCAGAACCTGCCTCCCGTGTATGATTTCATGAACCAGCCGGAAACGGCCTTCCCGCATCCCATGCGTGGTTTCATGAACCAGGCGGCAACGACCTTTGAGCCCACCATCTGGACCGGGACCTTTATGGAAGTGGGTTATCCGTTCTATGTGAACGAGGAGAGAATGCTGGTCAGCATGAACGACCCCAACAATGCCACCATGGAGCAATTCGCGCAACAAATTGTCACGTGCCGCCGCGGTTTTATAGTTGACAACAACGACAACGACAACAACAACAACAACAACAACAACTCAAGCTTTTCTTCCAATTCTTTTAACTACCTAGAGAATGAAGACATGCCCCAAGGGTTATACATCCAAGACCACAAGAGAGAAGACACCATGGGAACATATGGAAATGACGAAAAGCCCCAAGACAAGGAAACGCCACAAGACGTGTACAAGGACTACATTCTGTGATTAATTAATTAGTTTTAGTTTAGAATCATTTAATTTCTCCCTCGTTATTATGTAGTGTAGGCTAGTATAGTTTAGCTTCTCTCTAATAACGGAGTACAATTCAACTATATATAATTATACTCCGTAACTATCTTTGAAAGCAATTTGCTTTACTTAGTTCTTAACTAATTTGTTGAACTGTTTAAATTACGTTTGGCTAGTCTGATTTAAGCCCGTAAACTACCTACTACACATCCATTTGAATTAGAATAAAGCTAAACAAAAGTGGCACTTTCATGATTTACATTGGTAATAAATGTTAATTTTGCATTAACATTTTAGTTCATTACGAAAAAGCATCCAAAGCGTCGGTGCACGCACACCTATGGTGTACAACATGAGGTAAACTCCTTGGTATACACCAGGGCCGGCCCAATAGGGGGACAAGGTGTCCTTCTGGGCCGGGCCCAAAAATATTAGGGGCACAAATTTTTTAAGTATTATATACTCCGTACTATATATATACTCCCTCCTTCCCAGAGTATTTATCCACTTTTATTTTTGCACGCCATCCAATGCACTTCTTTAATCTTTTTTATCTTGTAATTTGTATATTAAAAAATTATAAAAATTACCCCCTCCGTTTCTTAAAACCCTTCCTCTTTCATTTTTTTTGTTTTTCTTAAAACACTTCCCCTTTCTATTAAAAAACCACTTTTACCCCTACTTTTTCATACCATACCTATCACATCATACTTTTCCACTAACAACTAAACTATCACATCTTACTTTTACCCATCACATCAAGGGCAAAATTGGAAAGTCAACTACAATTTAACACTTCCTTATTTTCCCCCAAAGTCAAAAGAGAAACTCTTTTGAGAAACGGAGGTAGTATATATTAATAATCTATATGTTAAGACAAATTAAACAAGATCACACATGATTATATTTAGGCTTACAGATTGAGAGAATTTGATGAGTCAAACTTCTTAGATGAACAGTTCCAAAAGTCAAAAGTGGACGAATATAGCGGGACGAAGGGAGTATATATATATGTACATAAGCTCAGCTGCCCAGGCCCAATCCACCCATGACCCCCCCCCCCCAATTGACCCAAGTTATTACCCCTCAATGGCTCAATTCCTCCGCTTGTAACAAAAATTGGATGGAAGAAAAGCTTCCCATAGAACACTCAGAAATCGGACCGGAAGAAATTAAAGAAGAGAGCCGAGTTCTGCACGGCTCCACCCTCTAGGTTATTAGTTATACCTTTCCAATTTGTAATTTTTATTTCTTAAATCTTAATTTTCTTTCATTATTTCATTTTTTTAGATTTAAAATCTGGGGTTAATTATTCTTTGAAATCTGCACGGCTCCACCCTCTAGGTTATTAATTATTCATTTTTGAAATTTGAAATCTTTTCTAATTTCATTTTTTGAAATAGAATGAATGAATGGTTCTATATGTTACTTATTTGATTTTGATGAATTGATTTGAATTTGTTATTTATGATAATGATATATTTATATTAAAAAAACTGAAAATCGAAAAAAAATTAAAAACTGATAAATTGATATGAATTTATGATTTATAAAAAAATTAAAACTGAAAAATATAAAAAACAATTAAAAAATAAAAATTGACGAATTGATATTAATTTATGATTTATTTATTTATTTATTTGCTTGCTTTTTTCAGTTTTTTATTCTTGATTTTGCTTAGTAGAATTTATGATTTTGGATTTTATTTCAGAAATAATTCAATAGCTATGGCTCCTAAACAATTATCCGGTAGTCAAAAAAGAAAAAAGAGAAAACGAGATGAAGAAATGAGAAAGTCTCAAGCCGGAGTTCTATATAATTAAGTTTATGAACCCTAATGCTGAAAATTAAGAAATAGAAGTAAAAGACATAGAAGAACAAGAACATCTACAAATATAGCAAGAACATGTTGAAGAAGAAAATTTTAGGGCCTGTTAGGATAATACTTTTAGAGCCTTTTTTCTGTTTCGGCCAGGCTGATAAATTCTCAAGACCGGCCCCGATATACACCTACCATGGTTGTTTAAATTAACTTTATTCTATGTTGCATTCATTTAAGGAATTTGAGAAAAAGAAAAAAGAGATTAGAAACTTTTTTTGTTTGTTAAGAAAAATAAAAAATATATTAACTTTTCTTTTCTTTTTTTACGAATTCCTTTAGCCAAATATAGTGTAGAGTTCAATTTTTCTTTCGGATTTCTACATTGTTCAAATTGTTTTTGTGAGGAAAAAGGTGATGAAATAGCAAAATCCATGTTAGAAAATTAAAATATTTTATGAGAGACACAACCAAATTGGTTTCTTGATATTCTATGAGACCTTTATTCACCAAGAGGTCACAAATTTGAAACTCTTTGCCACTTAGTTAAAAAAATTAATATTCACGTGCAAGAATGTGTTAGAATATAAAAACCTTTCACGTCAGGGAGCATGTGTTAGAATATAAAAACCTTTCCCCGGCCACAATCACAAACTTGAGTTTTTGGTTGAATCGGTTCCTTGACAATCCATCTCCCATAAGTACCTAAAGCATTTTACAAAGCATTATATTTTACTATATACTTTTTGGTAATGTAAATAATCATGATTGGTAAGGTAAATGCATTTTATCTCATATTTTGGATATAAACATGAAGCTCATATTTTTTTTATATATTTTCAATTTGTACTCTTACTTTAGTCCTTTTCCTTTAAAATCTTATCCAAAACAGTAACACTAATATATAAAAAAACATTATTCCCAAACAAGGTCTTAAACTAAAACAACATTTAACAACTCTAGTCTAGTTTTAACTCAGAGAGAAATAAAATAACATTATTGAGAAATAGAGCATGAATTAAGGAGCAAAAAATGGGGGGAAATGGTTGGAATGTGAATGAATGGGAAGATGTAGACCCAAGAACACATATAGTCTCTCTCTCTAGAAAATTGAGTGGCCACCCAAAAACTCCTCTCTCTCCCTCCCCATAATGTCCTCAATTTTCACCCTCCAACCACACCATCAAAATCCTTCCCTTCAACCACACATTACTTAACATTATTTGATGCATGGCATTGTTCTCTCACCACTTATTGTTAGCGTCTTTCTCCACCACCACCACCACCTCCCACCTCTGTAACGGCCGGCGAGGAGATTAGGCCCCCCCCCAGCCTTGTCGTCGTCGTCGGTCGGCCGCCATACCTTCCCCCCGCACCATGCCGACGCCACCTACCCCACCACTTGCGGCCACCTCCCTAGGCGTCGGCATCAGGGGGAGGAACGACAAGTTGTCGTCCCCCGCCGCCGGCGACAGTGACAAGGCTCTCGTCGCCAGACGATCTTCCGGAAAGCTCTCGAAGGCTTTCAACAAGGCGATGCTGGGCAACGTCGTCGTCCGGGCCTTCTTCAAGACGAAACCGCGCCGCCCTCGGACGCCGGCCGAGGTTGTTTCTAGAACAACGTTGGTGTTGGACGCCCTCAATTCATTCGAGGACAACGATGGGGGTAAACGTTTTCCAAAGGTACGTCGTAGGGCTCGTCTGGGACAAACATTTTCGATTGGCGTTTGCGTTATGGATAAAAATTCTAACAGTGTAGGTTAACTTTTTAAACGCTGACACTAAATGTTGTCTGTGAATAGTCTTTTCAGAATGCTAATTAACCTCTAATGTTATTTCCAAACATGCATTAAAGTTTAGTAAATTTTTTCAGTCAAAACTGATAAATATGATTATTAATTAAATAAAACATTGTTTTATCTAATTACAATTGTTTAAGATTGATCATATATAATTGACTCTAAAAAGTCAAAACTGGATGTTTTCATCTCCAAAATTGAAACGTTGTCATTGTGCAATATATACCGGCATTGTCGATTGTAAAAACTCAAATGAGAGAATAATATTTACATATATATGAAGTATTAAGTTCAGGAGTTTTGCACATTCTTCCAAATGTGAACAAAGATACGGAGTATGCATGGAACTGATGAGAGAGTAACTTTTATTTAACTAATAACCAAAATTTTGTCTATTTTGACTCGAAAAAATCAAAGTGTAACGGGGAATAAAATTATTTGTTTATGTATTATGTTGATCATCAGATGGGTGAAGTGGACACACTGATTAGGGAGATGAAGTCAACTCTGTATGGGAGCAGTGAGTCTGAGCCAGCTGCTGAAGCTTGTGCCCAACTCACACAAGAGTTCTTCAAAGCCAACACACTCCGTCTCATTGTCCATTGCCTTCCTAAGCTCAACTTGGAGGTTTATTACCAATTACCAATTACAAACAAACATCTCTCAATCTTTATGACTTAATGATTATATTTTGTGTGTATTTTGTAACTTTTTCAAGTTGGGATAAGGTCAGCGTGCACACGCACTCCCTGCAAACCTTTTTTTTTTGTGAAATTTCATTGAGTGGCTTATTTTATATCGATTTTGACATCTACTGTGCGTTGGTGTCATATGATAACCGTCGGTCTAATTGAAGCTACGGAGTTCCATTCAAAAAGTTTGTTCCTACATACCCTCATTCACTCTCACGGATGCGTTCCGTTCACCTTGTCTGATCTGATCTGATTTTTTAAAGATCTGATCTTGTCTGATCTGATTTGGTACGATAGATCTGATTTGATCCAATTGTAATTATTATTAAAGTTGTTTCTGATCTGATCAGATTATAATAAGAATAAGTAATGAGAAGAAAAAATAAGTTGAACGGAACGCTACTCATCCCATCCTAGTCCGCTACCACTCTCTCATGTTTGTCGATTGGAAACAATAAATTATTATTGTCAATCGGCGAACAAGAAGGGATAAAGGGTGGTGTTCAGGAGGTCAGAACTATTATTTTTTTTCAAACAAAACATCTCTAATTCTCCATTAAGACACCCAAGTTTAGCCTCAAATAACCCTTCTCATTTTGTATAGCGGTCCCTTTTCTAGTCCTTTTTTTTATTATTATTATTTTAATTTGTGGGTTTTGCTTTTCTAGGCGAGAAAGGATGCCACTCAAGTTGTAGCCAATTTGCAAAGACAGCCTGTGAACTCACGGTTGATTGCTTCAGACTACTTGGAAGCTAACCTGGATATTGTGGATCATTTGGTCTCAGGGTGAGCCAATATATATAATTGACTTAATTAGCTTCTTAATTGTGGTTAACACTCTGGTGTAAGAATTGATGTAAAAGACAAAACTTGTGTAATGTAATTAACATCGATATAATGTTTATAGATATGAGGATTCGGGTCTTGCATTGCACTACGGTGCGATGCTAAGGGAGTGCATTCGCCACCAGGTCGTTGCGAGCCATATCTTGAAATCTGGGCAAGTTCGCAACTTCTTTGGCTACATACAACTCCCTGAATTTGATGTCGCCACGGATGCCGCCACCACTTTTAAGGTTCTCCTCTTTTACTCTCTCTTTTTATTTTTTTAATTTCGCCATTAAATTGGAACAGGAGAGGTTCTAGTGCGATTGCGGTGTCACTAGACACGTCGGCGCTCCATTTGCAAAACATATGATCCCTAACCCTAACTTCCTGGTAAACCTCCAACCCCGGTCTCACCTAAACCCCTACCCACCTATCCCGTCAATTGGACCCTTCGATACAAAGTCAAAGTAAACTTGGGTTAGGAGTGGATTCAGCTCAAGGTAGAAGTTATCAATTTTGCGAATGGAGCACTGTAGGTATTACGAAATCTCTGTGATACCGCAGTGGCACCGTAAGACGACCGTGGCAACAAAACCGTGCCCAATTGGAACAAGACAAAGAAGATTAACATGACATTTGCACAGGAATGGCACACAAACCGGTAAATGGACTCTAAGTTAATTCTACACATTCATCTTTTTTGCAATGTTTTTCAGGAGCTTCTGACCAGGCACAAATCTACTGTGGCAGAGTTCCTCTCTGGAAACAATAATTGGGTATTGTTTTTACTTTTATATTTCATGTTCGAGAAATTTAAAAAGAAAATGATGCCAAAAATATTTTTTCTTGCTTGGTTTGAAAGGAAAAACAAAAGTTAAAGAAAAAGAAAATGATGAAAAAAGTATATTGTATTACTCTAAAAAGAGAGAAAACAAGTTTCCGTGTAAGAAAAAAATGACAAAAACATAATCTCACGCTTGTTCGATTTTGTGACCTCAGTTTTTTACCGAATTCAACTTCAAACTTCTGGGGTCTCCAAATTATATTACCAGAAGACAAGCTGTCAAGGTAATTAATATTCTTTACATATTTACATCTTGGGAATAGACCTATATATGAACATGTTTTTTTGTTCACTCATGACTTGATATTGTTCATTTCCTTTACCAGCTTTTGGGTGACATTTTACTTGACCGTTCAAATTCTTGTGTGATGGTACGCTATGTCAGCTCATTGGATAACTTGATCATTATGATGAACCTTTTGAGGGTAAGATATAACTACTTCATACTGTAAAAATGAGTCTCCATTGTTACAATACAGTAAAAAAAAAACTTGTATTTTTATATCGTTTGCTCATTCTTGCGTGTTAGAGTATAAAACGCAAGTTTTAGTTTATTTTTTGTTGAGTTGATTCTTTAACATTATCCCTGCTTTGCGATTAGCAAATTGCGTGAATGCGGTTTTGTGTTGCAGGAGTCAAGCAAGCCCATCCAGCTAGATGCGTTTCACGTATTCAAGGTACGAAGAAGAGAGGCATTCATTGATCTCTCAATTGTTAAATGTACAAAACACTAGTTGTTGTTGTTTTAATGCATGGCTAATTGAATCTGCTCTTTGGTCGCGATTTTCAGCTTTTTGTTGCTAATACAAATAGACCCCCGGGCATCACCAGCGTTCTTGCTAACAACAAAGAAAAACTTCTCCGACTCTTTGCAGGCTTGAGGATGGACAAAGGTTATTATTAGTATCAATCACTTGCATATAAAGTCAGAATCTACTTTCTAACTCAAAAGATTAAACCGATGATCCTTTTATATATTCTAGTGACACTTATCTTTGTTTTTCAATGTGGGAATTCCAGCAAGAATCAGTTCAACCGAAAATTTAAGCTTGTGATTATAATTCTGTGAAAAAGTTTAAATTCCAACAATGTGGGAGCATTGTTATATCATTTTTTTTTCAATTTTGTGGGTGCAGATGATGAACTTTTTGAGTCGGACAAAACTCAGATCATGAAAGAAATCAGCGGACTTGAATTGCCCCGACAAGCTGGAGATGTTTATAAGCTGCCCAAAACGCCAATGTGTTCTGGTGAACTGTCCAAAGTTTCTCCATTGCCAACACCAGCAGCCTATTCCCATGAATGATTTGTTGAATCCTATGAAACATTAATGTAGATATATGAAGCCATATATATGTGCCTATTGTGTTTTTGATACTTGCAATTACCCTTGCCATATATTGCTTGGGAGGTCGTGTAATTTTTTTTCCTTTTGAAGGCGCGTCCCCGAATTGCTTTTCCCATAAAACTTTTCTAGTCTAGGAAAAAAAGTGGGATTTTTGGTGTTACTTTCCAATTTTATCCTTACGTTATTGTCGGATAGAATACGATGTGATGAATAGATTAGTAGTGAATAAATATGATGTTGTTGGAATTTTTGGCATTTTTTAATAGGCATTAAATGGACCAACTAGGGTATATTTGTCAATAGGTCCACTAACGGTTTTAACCGTTAATTAATGGACGTGTTTTCTCTTAAATGAGATAAATGTTTTGACAAATATTACGCCAAAAATGGTAGAGGGTGAATAAGAAATTGATTCTCAGAGTTAACCCGTTAATAAAGAATATGGTGAGGATTGCAATTTTTGCAATTTTACTGAACCAAACTTCTTTTATTAATTTTACATATTGTTTAAAATTAGTCCATCTTTACGGAGTTAACTGGCCATTAATCTCCAATTATTCGGGACAAATTTTAAACGGAGCGTAGCGTAACGGACGTGTTAATGGCTAATTAATCACCATTAACACACCACAAATGCCATGATTAATTCCAATGGTTAATGGTGGGAGTTACATTTTTCCTAAACTCCTTAATTATAAAATCAAAGCTCACTCCATCATTTTCTTGTGATGCTTCACGTGAGAAACAAAAGAAAAAGAAAGAAAATCTTCCTTGTTTTTTTTTGAGAGAGCTCTTGGTTTTCCGGCCAAATTTCCGGCAATTCCCTTCAAAGTTTTTGGTCGCCAACGTTCCTACGTTGTTCTTGTTCGTTGGTGTGTGGTTGGTCCGTACAATCTCCACACACGATAGCGGTTTTATCCTGAGAGGAGAGTGCCCACGTTTTTCCGGTACGGTAGGCGGGCACTACTACCTTAAGGACAGCTCCGGCGACTCCGCTGTCCTTCCACGGTGTTGTGTTTTTGCAGTGCTTAAAGACCTCGCTGTCCAGTGCTTAAAGACCTTGCTGTCCAGTGCTTAACGTCCTCGCTGTCCAGTCCTTAATGTCCTCGTACAACAAGGCCGTTTGAAGACATAGAAATTTATTTCCAACTTTGTTTATTTTGTAATATTCTGAATAAATTATAAATTCAGAATTATTTTTATTTTTTATTTCTGGGGCCGTTCATCTTCTCCGTCCGTTGTAATCCGTACGAGAATTGTAACAGATGTGGTATGCATGTAGATAATAAGTAGAGATAAATGGAAGGTTTTAATTGAAAAAGGATCAAGAAGTATTTTTTCTGTACGGACAAAAAATGAAAATGTTTTGGACAGATAGAGTATTTTTTTTATCATTGTAATTCATTATTTTCAATGTATCGTCATGAGGTTAAGTACTGAGTGCGACACTAGGTTGCATTGAGTGATTTCTTCATTTCATATTAGAAGTTGAGGTAATGAAGAGAGAGTTTTTTTTTTTTTTGGGTAACTAGCTAGCTAGCAAGTACCCAGGAGCCCGCCCTAGATAGAGTTGATCTTAATTTGTTCTTTGCTATTGAGGACTCTAGTTGTTCTCAAAAACATTTCCTTTTTTATTTTTTCCATTTTTAACAAAATACTTCCACTTTTTATTTAAAAAACCACTTTTACCTTTATTTTATCATATCCTGCCTATCACATCATACTTTTTTCTTAAATACTCAATCCATCACATCTTAGTTTTACTCATCACATTAAGGACAAAATTTAAAGTCAAGTACAATTTAACACTTTCTTATTCTTATACAAAGTCAAAATATGAATGTTTTTATACAGGCAGGGAGTATGTCACACGCCCTTGGTTTAACGGCCAAGAATGTATAATTAAAGAGGTCAAAGTTATTCAAATTTAGCAAATTTTATTTTTCTTCACACAAACATAAGCCGTCCCTCATAGACGCAATAAACTCATGTTTGTGTAGAGAAATATAATTAAAAATGTCCTGAACATAAAAAAAGACTTGCAAAAAAAAAACATTTGACATGCATCACTTGCCCTAGACTTATGAGCTTTAAAAACATCAAAGATCATTGATTCATTCACTCTTTAAGGGCAACTTTATGGCTTCTCTCCTTTTTTCTTCCTCAACCCCTTTCTTGAAACTTTGTGGCATCTCCCTCTTCTCTTTTTCCTCGTCCTCAAACACGCTTCCAAAATCTTTCTTCTTTCGTAAAGTATTATTCTTACTCCTCTTATCAACCCTAATCCGCGTCTCTTCCACCAATTTCCACAATGCCGTTTTCCGGTCCCTGGTGTGTTTGATCAACACCTCGCTAATGTCAGCAGGCGTCATCTCAGCACCTTCTATGGCCTCCTCCAGCTCCCGGAGCGCCTCCAAGTCGCGACCCTCTCCAGGTTCATCAATGTCGAATCCGAGGTAGTTCTTGACGAGGATTTTTAGGGCCGGGAAGCTGCAGTTGTTCATGTGGATGTGCATGTCCATTCTGCCCCTCCTAAGTAGCGCAGGGTCGAGCCTCTCTACGTGGTTGGTGGTGAAGATGAAGATCCTCTCGCTCCCGCAACAAGACCATAAACCGTCTGTGAAGTTGAGTAAACCGGAGAGAGTTATGGCGCTCTTTGTTTCATCCTTCTCCGGTGGCACCGCCGGGGTTGGCCCCAATGAATTTCCTTCCGACAGCATAATCTCTTCTTTGTTCCTTTTCCAAACAAAACTTCCTTTAAGTTAATACCCCATCTCCCCTAAGTACAAATATATACAGAGGTATACAACCTAATATGTATGTGATACTCTAGCAGTTACAAAAAATATTATCCATTTTGATGTATTTTTGGTCAAACAATTGCACGCTTTGACCATAAATTAAATATAATCTAAATAAAGAAATGTTATACTCCCTCCGTCCCAATTTATTTGCAACACTTCGAACGACGTGCAAAATATCATCTCTTTTAAAATTACTTTAATTTCAAATTGGTAGAGTAATAAAAAGTAAAAATTACACCATTTAAAAGTATATGAAAAGCTCTACAAAACAAGATGCGACAAGAATATTTTATTTTATCAAATGGTCAACCAAAACGAGTAAACAAACAAAAGTTATCGAGAGGCCAAAATAGTAAACGTGGCATTCTTTCTAGGACGGAGGGAGTAAAAATTTGATATATCAAAATTAGATCCTAAGATGAATCCAATTATTTTAAGTTTATATTATAATTCAATATATTTTTCTCACAATTTGTAATCAAAGCGTGTAACTGCTTGACCAAATACTATTTAAAATGTGTAATGTTTTGTAGGACGGAGGGAGTATTATAGTCTTAGCAAGTAGGTGGACTATTATATTCCGACAGAAGTACTCCCCTCCATCCCCCTGTATTTGTCCACATTTGACTTTTGGAACTGTTCATCTAAGCACTTTGACTCATCAAATTCTCTCAATGTGTAAGCCTAAATATAGTCATGTGTGATCTTGTTTGATTTGTCTTAACATATAGATTATTAATATATAATTTTTATAATTTTTTTGATATGCAAATTACAAGATAAAATGGATTAAAGAAGTGCATTGGATGGTGTGTAAAAATGAAAGTGGACAAATACAGGGGGACGGAGGGAGTATGTTACAATAAATCCATATTGAGATACAATAATCTTTCATATGTAATTAGTATTTGTGCAAAAATGTACCTGGTAATGTCAAACTTATGGTTCCCCATATTAACAAACTAATAAGTGACATGGGCCCGTACGGGTGAGCTATAACTCTATAAGGGTGGAAGCCGGAAGGTGTGATTAACTAAGACCATTTTGGTACTAAATATTGAATTGCTTATGTGGCATTTTGTCAAGGAGGGTAGCACCAGGGGCGCCCATAGGGGTGTTCATCAGGTGTATACGAACAGGGCCCAATTTTCAAGAGGGTCCATTTTATTTCTTTTGTTATTTTACAAGAGAGTTTACGTTTTGTTTATAAAAAAATATCTTGAATACTGTTGAAAAATAAAGTGTACGTGATGAAAAAACTATATACGGGCATCGTTTAGTATCAGTATTTTCAAAGTAGTATGTACCATAAAAATTTTATCCAAAACATTAAGGGGCTGTTTGGCAACTTCTGAATAGGTAAGTGCTGAACCAGTAAGAGGTCTGAACCATTAAGTGCTGAACCAGTAAGAGGTCTGAACCATTAAGAGCTAGTATATTGCTTAACTATTCAGAGGCAAATGTCTGATCAATTCAGATAAGAGGTCTTAACCATTCAAACTCTGTATAATACTTAACCATTCAGAGGCAAATCTCTTAACCATTCAGACATCTGAACCATTAAGAGGCTGAAACAAACAGTCTGAATCATTAAGTGCTGAACCATTCAGACATCTGAATCATTAAGAGGCTGAAACAAACAGCCCCTAACACTAATTCTAACATTATTCCCAAGCAGACCCTTAATATACTTCGTGTATTTTTTTTACAAGTAATATTTAAAACATGGCTTTTTTCTTAGGGTTTAGTTTTCCAAGCTTGAATATGATATACTCCATATATTTTTATTGGGGGCGGTTCCTATGACATTGCCCGGCAATGTCATGGGATGACCCGGGAGCGTTCCGGTGCCCCATTCGTAAAATTGACGGTTCCTACCACCCCTAGTCCCCCGGTAAACCCCTCACCCCGCCCCGACCCAAACACACCCCCCACCCCCTTCAATTGCACCCCACAAGTTGATTTTAACTTTGGAGTTTGACTCTAAAGTCAAAATCAACTTGTGGGGTGCAATTGAAGGGATTGGAGGATGTGTTTGGGACTTTGGGTCGTGGTGGGGTGGAGGGGTTTACCGGGGGGTTAGGGGTGCTAGGAATCGTCAACTTTACGAATAGGGCACCGGAGCGTTTTCGGGTCATCCCATGACATGAGATTCCAATGTCATGGGAACTCTACCGGTTTTTATTAGGGTTTTGGATTATAATCATTGACCCGAACTAACAAGTTCGACCTTAATTAACTCTTCACCCACTCCTCTCGTTCGATGTCCAGTCCAATTACAAATAATAAAAACATTACTTTTGTTCCTCTTTTTGAAATTTGATGACATTCTTTTATTTAAAAGAAAAGAATAAAATTTATTCTTAGATAGACAAAAAGAAACGAAAGAAAATTACGGAGTAATTTGCTGGGACGAGAGAGCATATTAGTTTTCATATACTCCGTACTTCCGTAGAATTCATGTCTAGTCTCTAGTGGATTCCTAAAATTAAATTAACTTCACAGTTTGCGTTTGTGGTCAAACTTTTAAATTTCGATCACATATTACGGAAAATTACATTGAGTTTTATATAAATCTAGTATTAATAGATTCATTCTCTAACATAGGTATGAAATATCTTATTTTTATAATAGGTATTTATATATAAATTGAGATATTAATGGTCAAAATGTTGCATTGAAAAACGCAAAAGTTTAAATCAGAAATTAGTTTTAGAACGGAAGGAATATATTCTGTCCGTCTCTAATTGGATTACAATTTATTTGTCTCTCTGTTGATGCCTTTTGTTTGTTTGTATCTTTTCATTGATTATTTTGATAAAATAAAATATTTTTGTCACCTCTAATTTTATAGAACTTTTAACGTAGTTTTTTAATATGTAATTTTAAAATATTAGAGATTTTGCCTCGTAAATTTCAATTTGTAATCAAATTTGGGACGAAAGAAATAGTTTTGTTGCGGCAATATATCGTTGTTCAGAACTATTGAAAACATTTTCCAATGATATTTACTCTTTCTGTCATAATTTTGATAACAACTTTTTTCTCTCATCTCATGATAATTTTTGTTTATTTATATGTTTCCATTGATTGTTTGATGAAATAAAATATTTTTGTTACCTCTTATTTTTTAATATATAATTTTTATTTTTTATTGATATAACAATATTTAAATAAAATGATTTCAAAACTTACAAGATTTTACCTCGTAAATCTAAATTCGTAATCAAATTAAGGACGGAGGGAGTATATAATTAAGCCCTTCTCACTTGTTATTGCACTTCCCATTTTTGTGCAGACAAGCATGGTATCATATTGGATCATAATAATGTCGAATCGTTTATAGTATTTATAAACCTGATTGATTTTTTTCATCACAAACCGAAACCGAACCGATATCTAACGAGGCAGGACCGTGATACAACCTTTTAAATATTTATCATGGATCGAACTGTTCAAAGTTATATGTCGAATATCTCAAATAATTATTTGTCTACTTCATCTTACCGCATATGTAGTACTTCATACGGAGTATTGTATTATTTATTTTTTAATTATTTTCATTATTATTGTTGGTATTATATGTATTACTACTATTACTTTATTTTTGGAAGTTATTAATAGTCTCATATCGTATGAATTGAAAAAATATATATTTTTAAATTTTGGTTTGTTTTTTTATTCTTTATGTTTATAATCTTTTTAAATTCTAAATCAATACTTTTTCTTAACAAAGTTTTTTTATACAAGGTTAAGCTTTTATTTCAATATTCTTTGAGTAATGCATGTTAATTTTTATTTGCACAGTTTGAGCATGAATATGGCATTGTACTATTCCGCTTTAAAACGGGATAATACCGAATGATTTTGGAATTCATTGCGTATCGATCTCAAACCATTTATATAAGAGCGGTTCCTGATAGATTCTGGAAGTATCACAGACCGTCAAGGACCGCGTCCATCCCTACTACTCCATCCGTTCCTGAGTATTTGTCTAATTTTGACTTTTTTCGGTCAAAATTGATAAATTTTGTCTTTAAATTAAATAAAAATGATATTAGATATTGATACAAAAATAGTTTTATTAGATTTACTACATCAGATATTTTCATAATATTATGTTATCTAATTAATATACCTTATAGGTCAAAGATTAAAAGCAACTGATAAAAAAAAGTCAGAACTAGACAAATACTCAGGGAGGGAGATAAGAATTCATTTGCCAAGGTTTTTTTTACCCAACGTCAAAAGTGATTTGAAAAATATGGTTAAAAACTAGTGCATGGAAGAGACCATTTGGAAAAGTTAAAACTACTTTTTGAATGCTTTTGTGCGCAAGAATTGAAATGTTTCACTAATCATGATTTCACTTATTAATTAAAATTATGAGTAGTTAATACTCTCCCCATCTAGAAATAAATGTTCTGATGAGTTGACTTTTACATAATATTTTTTTTAAAAAAAACTAGAGAATAGAAATTTAAAATATAAATCATTCAATTTTTTTTTCTAAATGAAATGTATATATTTATTTTTCGACGTCGAAATAAGAAAAGCAATACATTTATTTAGAGGAGGTATAGTAGTTTTTTTTTTAGATTTAGAGAACATACAAAACTAATTTATTCCGTAATAAGCTCTACAGATGGAAGACTTTGTACCAATTGTACCCATTCAAAAAGAAAAAAAGGGAGTGGCAAACTTTGGGTAGGGTGACGTGGGGGTCTATTATATGCAAATTATGCAATCCTAATGCTATAAAGTATTCTTTGGAAATTAATACTTTAATTCAAATACAAAATTTAATTTTTTAAATTTCAAATGACAAAAATAAGAATATGGATTTGTAATTAAAATTTAATTCGTTATTAAGTCGTACTTCTTTTGAGTGACTTTAATTTTTAATTCAAACCCAAACATATATGGCCTATGGGATTGGTTCAAGTGAGAATTGTTCTTACTCCAAGAATAGATCTTATCGTGACAATGATGCATTTTTGTGCCGTCATGATGTAATTTTACTTTGTGGTAGTACATTTTCGATACTGGGAGTAAAGTTCAACTTATTTATCGTAATGCCACTGTGTTTTTTCAGATTTTTTCAGTTTTTACATCTAATGCACGAGAAAAGTATTATAATTTCTTTTATTAGATTGCATTCTCACTTGATCCAAAATCTATGGCCTAATGATATATATGTTTCATGTATTTTCGAGCCACTTTAACTTTTCATATCTTTTATTTTAAATAATCAGATTTGGGAGCTCAAATTCTATTTACCAAATTATAGACTTTGGTATTTAGTTTTAATTACGGTTTTTCAGTTCCTTATTTTTGTTATTCCGTATTTGAAACAATAAAAATGGCACTGACATTTAATTATATCAAAATATATAAATGAGTTCATTTTTCTTCCGTGGTTCAAAGGTCTACATGAGAAAAATAGACCTTCTCACAACCTAGCAAGTGAATTTTTTTATACTCCCTCCCGTCCAAAAAAGATCTTCCTGTTTCATTTTTTGCGCATCCTATAAAACACTTCTACACACATCTAAAATGCCTAAAATTTACCATATTTCTCATTTATTGTGGGTAGAAGTTGTTTTGAAAGTTTTTTTGTATTTGAGGTGGGATAGAAGTGTTTTATGAGATGCACAAAAAATGAAACAGGAAGATCTTTTTGGGACGGAGGGAGTACAAAATAAAGGCTCAATTTTTTTATAATATCAATGCATTAATGTCCATAAAATAAGCATGAATATAATCATAAGACCATGTAGAAATTTGCATATGTTGAAATGTTGAATATTAATGTGATTTTTCATGTTTAGCCATTAGTCTGTAATTCTAAGATATTACATAAATAGTCCTTAATTTTAGAAAATATTTCATAAGTAGTCGTTTAGTTCAAGTATGACAAAATATTTTCGCACATATCGTCAACAAAGCAGCGAATATGAAATAATTTTAAGAAACTGAGAAAGACAAGTCGCTTAAATAACTTATTACGGAGTATATCAATGCAAAATAAATTAAGTAATTGCAATGACTTTATTTGGATATATTAGTCATTTTGATAATTAAAAAAATTTACCTGGAGGTAGTAGTAAGGTTGAGGGAGCAGTCGATGTCTTCAATGACAATAATGGATTTTGAGGTTGTTTTGATGAGCAGCTTCCTCAAATCGGAATTGGTCTCCACTTCCGTCAACTCCACGTCATATATGTCGTAGCCCAAGTAGTTTGCCATGGCGGCGATCATGCTCGACTTCCCCGTCCCCGGCGGCCTGTACAACAGATATCCCCTCTTCCACGGTCTCCCTACCATTGATGAAATTAAATGTTGATAATTAATTAAGGATCTCTTTCGGAAATAAAGTTAGAGATTGGCGTTAGCGTTTCGAAAACACTACTTACAGGCAGTGTTTTAGCGTTAACGTTTTCAAAGTTAATCTGCACTGTTAAAATTTTATCCAATATGCTAACGCGTATCGCAAACGGTATTCCCAAACGAGCCTTAAGTAATTAAAATTAACATTAATATCCATTTACTAAAATGTCCTTGCTTGTATATTATGGATCTTGGAAACAGCCTCCCTACTTCCGAGTAGGGGCAATGTCTGCGTACACACACCCTCCCCAGACCCTACTGTAGCGGGATTCAACTGGGTTGTTGTTGTTGTTGTCCTTGTATATTATGGACATTTTTTACTATAGATTCGGGGCATTGTAAAATTAATTATGTTCATGGACATTATAAAAATTATAGGCATTGTATACTGATCGGAGACATTGATAACTAAAGCAGTAGACTTTATTATTGCGACAACATTTTTCTAAATCGACAATGTCTTGGCTTTTAAATTAAAAAATAGGGGTAAAACTGGTCTTTTTAATAGAAAGTGGAAATGTTTGGAGAAAATGAAAAAAAAAAACGAAAGGGCAAAACTGGTCTTTTTAGTGGAGTAGGATAGTACCTGTTTGGCGGTAAAACGACTCTCCATTGCAAAAATCTTTGAGGTCCGCAATTATCTCCTCCTTCTTTATCGGGTCCATGGCGAGCGTGCCGAACGTGCTCGGGTGCTTGAACGGGACCGACTCCCACGGGTGCGACCTCGAGTTCGTGTACAGCAGCAGCTCGCGGCTGCTCCGCCGTATCTCCCGGGCCTTCTCCGTCACGTGCTCCAGGTACGGCCCCAGCACGGCGGCCTTGTCCCTCTTGTGGGCCCGGAGCACGAACCTCCGCTTCTCCTCCGGGAGGGTCCGCCACGAGAGGGTCTGGCCCTGGCGCGGGGCCACCACGTGCTCCCACTCCACCCTGACGCCGCCGCCGGCGAAGGTGTCCGGGATGGAGTTGTTGTTGGAGAGGCCGAAGGTGATGGCGGCGGAGTTGGGGTTGCGGGCCAGGGTGAGGCGGTCCCCGGCGGCGGCGGCGATGCTGCTGAGGTAGAGCTTGACGGAGGAGTAGAGGTCGTTGGTGTTGAAGCCGTCGGTCTCCGGGATGTCGTAGTAGCAGTAGGAGGAGAGGCGGTCGTAGAGGCGGTGGAAGAACTTGGCGGCGGAGGAGCGGAGGTCCGGCGGGAGGAGAATTTGTAGGAAGCCCATGCTAAAGGCCCACACCCCCATGCCAGATGCTAGCTTGGTCCAAAACTCCATTACTATAATTATGTGTAATTAATCACTAGTATAATTACTTAATTTAGAGGGTATTAATTAGATGTGTTTCAAATGAATTTGTGATAGATAGACAATGTGATGGCTTCTTTTATTTATAAGCTAAGATTCATGGGATGAATGACTTTTGTTTGATTGTCATCATTGATTTGGTTCTTTTTGTTTCATATTTTCTTTGATTTTATTCATTTGTTTTTTGCTTTTTTATCTTTTGTGTTTGTTAGATTTTTAATTTTTTAAAGACATTTTTTTCTTGTTATTTTAACATTATTTGTTAGTTTAGTTACAATTTTTTTTGTGAAATGTTTTTGTTAAATTTTTTATATTTTCTGTTAATAACTGTCTATATTATGTTTTGTTTAATTTACTTTTTTATATTTTTGATAGTGTTTTGTCTTCTTTTTTATCTTTTTGTTAAGAATTGTCTTCTTATTTTTTGGTTTAATCATTTTATTAACTAAACAAAAAAATAAAACCATGTGTCTTAATTTATTTTTTGTTTCATTTGATATTTTTGTTTATTAATGTGTTTTGTCTATTTTTAATGGATTCTATTTTATTAATCATTTTAATTAAACATAAAATGGTACTCCCTCCGTTCCATAAAACTCTTCCTCTTTTGTTTTTTTCCAATTTTCTAAAACACTTTCACTTTCTATTAAAAAAACCACTTTTACTCCTACTTTTTCCTACCCTACCTATAACATCATATTTTTTCATTAATAACTAAACTATCACATCTTATTTTTACATATAATATTAGGAGCAAAATTGGAAAGTCAACCAAAATTATACTTTCCTTATTTTGACTCAAAGTCAAAATAGAAGTGTTTAAATGTTTTCTTATAGGGAGTAGTTTTTAATGTTTTCTGCTTGTCTTATCTTTTTTGTAAACAATAAAATTAAAATAATTAATTAAAATAAGCCCAAATAAATAAAAAGGAGAACTAGAAACAAAAATCCCACAGAAAATAAACTTCTTATCATTTTTTGTTATTTTTATAAATCTAATTTTTTAATGACAAAGAAGTAAAAAAATTAATTCAAACTTGGGTTTGTTCTTTTTTGTGTGTACCATATATAGTCTCTTTTTATGTTTCACTTATTTTTAGTTAGGTTTTGTTTTATATTTTAATAAGTTATCTTATTTATCGTTTTAATTAAACAAAGAATAAGCTAAATTGACTTTGAAGTCAAATTTTGACTCCAAGTGAAAATTAACTCGGGGAGGCAATTGAAGAGGGTGGGAGGGTGTGTTCGGGTCAGGTCCGGGTAAGGGGTTTACCAAAGGGGTTACGGGAGTAGGAACCGTTAATTTTATGAACGAGGTACCGGAGTACCCCGGGTCAACCCATGACATTAGTTCTCAATGTCATGGAAACCAGCCTCTATTAAAATATAATTATGTATTAAATTTAAAAATATCAAATAATTAGAATAATAAACATCTAACAATAATGAACCCAAAAAGTTTGGGCCATGTGCCCATGTGCCGGTGCATACCTTGCAGACCCTCCAACCCCTCCAACCCTCAATGCCATCTACTTCTAGTGCTAGCTGCTACATAGCGTCCCCTCCCAAATTTCAAACATCTCTTTGAGTCAAACTATTTGCATCAATTTTGTGGTGCACATTAATACAATGAAACAAGTTTTTGAAAATTTTCTACAAGATCATTAAAATGATACTCCGTATTATTTTGTACAAAAATACAATATAATTCTATTTAATTGATAGTTAAAATTTATTAAATTTGATAAAAAAAAAACTCAAATGAGACTAATATAAAGGTCGTAGCATTAGTTAATAGGAATAGGTGGTGGTGAACATCAGACTGAAATTGAAAAGAACTAAAAAACCAGAATCTGAAGAGAGCAGGACCAGAATCTTGACCTTAAAAAGTCTGGTCCGGACAGGTTGTGAATTGTTCTTTTGGGATGGTCTGGATTTAGAACAGAAAAAATGGTAATTTGTTTTAATTATTATTTAGCATTTTTTTCTCAAATTGTTTTACATTATTTTTTGACGACTTAGGTGATTCAACCATAGTTTATTTTCTCTATCCATTGGCCGTGTTTCAAAAAATAAAATCAACTAAACGTATTTTCATCAAAAATATTTTAAGTTTAAAATAAATTTTATAGTTCCGTTAGTTTTTCATATTCCCAAAATATTGATAAAGTTGCAATTTAAAGTATTTCTTTTTTTTACCAAAAATATTCTATATATTAAAAGTATCTAAAATTCTAAGTCCAAACATTATAAAGAGTACTTCAATTTTTTTAAATATTATTTAAAGAAACCCTAAATTAAATGTCAATAATGTAAACTAACAAAAGTGAAGAAAATTAACCCTGCAAATATCCAATTTCATACCAAAATGGTCCGACATTTTCTGGTCATCAATCATTTAGAACTGAGTTGATGAGTTGGTCCGGAATTTACCCCCCCGAAATCAATTTTTCCGGTTCCATTCCAATCGGGTTTTTGGTGTTTCAGTGCGACCCTAATTTTGTTCCAATCATATTTCGGAGTTCATAGACTCCAGAAAAGCTGAGAATCAGCGTCCAAACTTCCCTTCGCCGGAAAAAGCATTCGCTCGTCGCGGCTATCTCTGGCGCCGGAGACAATCAATTTTCGAGGTAAACCTAAAAGCTATGAATTAGGTTTAGCTTAAGTTTCTGCAATCAATTTTTGTGCATTTTTTTACTTTTTCTGTTTCAAGCTTCGTTCTTTTATGAATTAGGTTTAGCTTAAGTTTCTGCAATCAATTTTTGTGCATTTTTTTACTTTTTCTGTTTCAAGCTTCGGTCTTATCTGATCTCTTTTATCTCGTAATTCAACATAATATGCCGCAGTGAATCTTTCTTTGCATAATGGATGTCATGAAGCTTCTAAAAGATTACCCCTTTGCTACACTACAAGATGTGGAGCAGCAAGTCCTCACTACTGGCCCAGATCTGTGTGGGTATCACAGCCCTTCTTACCTCAGCTCCCGTATGGATAGCAGTATTCATTATATCAGTAAGGCACGAGAAACAGAAAAAGTAAAAGGCAGAGAACACGTTGAAGCTGGGCCTTTACTTCATGTGCATTCAGTACATGTACAACCAAAACAAGCTCTAAGAAACAGACCACTTCTTGTATATGGTACGATTCGGGTTAACTATGAAAAGAGCGGAAAACCGATGCAGCTTGATGTTTACAACCGAAGTGCTAATGATGCCGACGACATTAGCCCAAGTGGTGGCGATTTATCTCTTGGTTGGCCTAATGCTTTTTGTGATAGGAATGATATGTGGATGGAATTGCACGGAACAACTATAGAAGTGGATCTCTATTTCAAAATTGGGGATGAGGTTGTTACGTTGGCTCAAGAGGAAATTTTGGTGGAGGATACAACTGAAGGTGATTTTGAAGAAGTGAGATCAAAAGAATTCCATGGCACACTTTGCTCGGCTACCTTGATTTACATTGCTATGCCATTTGCTGCTCTTTGCAAAGTGCATGTAAGATTCTCTAGCAAAGATAAGGACCGGATTGTTAATGTTGCTGGAAAAATTGTTGCGCGATATAAGAACACTTATGGAAACTATGATTCAGAAGCCTGCGTTCTTTTTGATAAGCAGAATGACTTTGAACCTGTAAAGATGAATAATAACATGAGTATGTCGAGAACATTGATGGGGTTGCCAGCATATTCGTCACTTGAAATTAATCTGGACTTGAGGGACTTCAACACAAACAGAGAGCTTGTTAGAAAAAGAGTGGAATTGTTAGACTGGAATGGTTTATATGCAGGTAAGTATGCAGTGGCTGTGGATGGGTTTGCCATTATTGTGGATGCGAGAAAGTTTTCGTACCGACCTGTTAAGTGGCGTCACTGGAGTGGTTCAGAAGATGAGGTAATTAGTTCTCTTAAAGTTAAGACTCAATGCAAAAAGAAGTCCAACATGGCTCAAGCCACTAAATTATGAAACACTATGAACTCAAGATAAAAATAGGAGTAATAATTATTTGAAACACAAAACTTCCCCTGCTTAGATAGGGACACAAGTTAGTGGATAGAGTATAATAATCACAGTTTTTTACTTATTTTGGCAATCAAGGTAGCCATGCGTCAAGGGTTTAACAACCCCCAAGATACTGTTGTGCACATTTAGACCCCCAAGATCCCAACAGAGTTTGGATAACGTAATGGGTTTGTTTTTGTTGCTGTCAACCAAGGTTTTGTTTTAGTTCAGGTTCATCTTATTGTCTATTGCCAACACTACAGAAGTATTGTTAAAAGTGGCAACATATTACATTAAATATGCGTCACATTAGTTCAATATAGTTAATTTTACATCACTCTTTCTCTAACAGCTTGTCCGTTATCTGCAGTCTGATAATGAATCATCATCAACATCATCATCGTCCAACAATGACAACCCTCGGTTTGTGATTCTTTCATTTGTGCACTTGCAATACACTAGCTTTGCCACTTTTTAAAGTGTTTATTGGTTTATTAATTTGTTATATAAATTAGGTGCCATCATCATTGTGAAGAAAGTAAACTGTATTCATCAGAATTAACAGAAGTCTACTCAATCTTCATCGGTCGTAAAAGAAAGGAGGCATTGAAAATTTTGGGCACGGTTGAGTTGTCTTCCGAATATCATACTACTCAGCACTATGTATTCAAGAGTACTGGTAATGATGGGGTGGAAGTAGAAGATTCACAGAAAGTTTTACCAATGATGGATGTGTATATGAGTTCTGTGTATATGACTTCTTACGCGTCTAGCATGCTGGATTTGAAGGTCAATCTCGAAGATGTTGGTGGGAAGTATCAAAATAGAGGTTTTGCTAGTTATGATAGTAATCGCTCAGATTTTTTAATATATTATGACGCCCAAATGTGTTCTATTTTTCCGGGCAAAGATGGGTTTTGTGCATTTGAGAAAGTAATCCTTAATTATTAGACGTCGGAAAAATTAGTTTTAAAATACATTGACAATGTCAATCTAATTCTACTTTTAAAATATATTTTTATTGCTACTTGTAATTTGAGTTTCTAAACTTTTGATCTTTTATAAGGATGAGATATTTTAATAAAAATACTATCTCTTCTATATATTGATTATCTAAATTTAATTACTTTTAAATGTATATCTATATTAAATATTTATTCCAATGTATAATTCTAATTTTACAAAAAAATTATCATAAAATAAAAAATATTATTACATTATAATATGAATGATTATTCTAATATATGAATTAACTATTTTTATTTTATTAAAAAGGAATCATTAAATAAAAAATATTGATTATATTATAATATGAATTATCATTACAATTTTCAAACGTTATTATAAAGTTAAATTAAATTATTGATTTGAAATTTTAAATTAAATCATACTTAATCAGATGAGACTAGATCAGATTAGATCCAATCAGATCAGATCAGATCCAATCAGATCATATCAGATCCAATCAGATCAGATCAGATCAGATCCAATCAGATCAGATCAGATCAGACCAGACCAGATCAGAACTTATTAGAATCAGATCAGATCAGAAAAAATAAGTTGAACGGAACGGAGCCTAAGAGTGATCATTTCGGGGTTGGCAATATCTATGGAAGTGCAATCGCACAATACAGCCACTTTGACTACTCAACTAAGTTCAAGAGAGATTATTTTCGGAGCGTGCTCTTCAAAAGGGCACAGAGAATGGTGGGAAAGTGCCACTATCTCGAAGTGTTGTTACGGTTCCAATGGGCGCGTCCCTCATTATTGAATTACATTTTTGTAACATGTTTCTGAAAGATCGTCTATCATGGACAGAAAAGTTTCAGATCGGTCGTTGTTGCTTTAACACCGAAACAACTGATTATGAACTTGGCATCAAGTTGACTTGGAGTGATGGTTAGCAACTTTGGATATAAATTTTTGGGAACTTTCAAATTGGTCATTGGACTAAAATGTCCTTGGCTACTTGTTTCGTATGACTTTTGATATAATTTTTTTAAAAATGTACATTTTATTTTATTTAACTCCACCCCATTATCAAATAAATTATATTGAAAACAACTATGCTCACTTATTGGTATCTAATTTTATTTATTATACTTTTTTGTATCTTCTACTTATTCTTTTGTTTGTATGAATATATGACACAAATATATTTCGATTGAGTACTTCTAACCCCATCATTCACAATTTGTCTGTCTATATATACTTTGACTAAGAAAGTAAGAAGCATTTTTTTTACAAGGAGATTACACTAGTCTTGGAAAAATGCAAGAAAAAAAATTTGAGTCATGGCACAACGTATGGGGTTTGTTGCAAGATAAGGAAGCTCTTTAAATAGATTTTATTTACACATTGATATACACTAAATAAATAATAGTAAGTGTTAAACATATACTTTGTCTCAAAATCAAGTTGTATGTTTATTATGTGATCAAATTTTATTGATTAATCTTCTAGATTTGCTATTAAATTGATAAAATAATATAGTCATGTAAATCTTGTTTCATACTCCCTCTGTTTTAATTAAAATTATTTGTTTCGATTTACGATGTTTGGATAAAGTTATTTTTAAATTATTTTATATAAAAAAGGTGTAGAATTAAAAATAAAAAATTACTTATTTTAAAACTATGTCAAAACAAAACTCGTGGTAACATGACTATATTATTTTATCAAATAACTAACGATAATTGAAAAATAAGTTGAATTAAATTTGATCATATGAATAACAGATATACAATTTAAATTGGACTAAGGGAGTATAATTTTTTATGTAGTTTTTGAATATGTAAATATTAAAATTTCAACCAAATTATCAAATAAATTATATTGAAAACAACTATAGTTGCACATCGTAAATAAAAAAGATGATTTAAATTGTGATGGATTTCACAACGTATTGAAAACATATATATTCACGCGTCGTAAATTAAAACAAACAATTTAAATGGATTTAATTTTTTTATTTATAAAAAGCAACGAATTGGGTTTGTTGCAAGATAAAAAAATTTATTTTAAATGGATTTCAGTTACAAATTGATTGTTACAAATTTTATCAGTATATGAGAGTGGCACTTCTAGAAAATAATTACAAGATGGAGAAGGGAGCGATTATAAACAAGACAAGATAAAAATACTTTTATTTTATTTATTGATTTCTACTCTATAAGCTACTCCTTTCATCTCAGAATTTTATCCAGTTTTGAAATTTCTTTACACCTCTTTTCTTTTGACAACAAAAAATAATATTCCCTCCGTCCCTGAGTATTTGTTCACTTTTGACTTTTTTCAGTCAAAATTGGTAAACTCTAACTTTAAATTAAATAAAAATGACATTAAATATTGATATTTTATTAGATTTATCATACTAGTATCAAATATTTTCAATATATTATTTTATCTAACTAATAAACATATATTTTTTTAATTATAGGTCAAAAATTGAAAATAATTGACTGAAAAAAATCAAAATTGGACAAATACTCAGGCACGGAGGTAGAATAATATATGACAACGATTCCAATCAAAGTATCTAGGACTATCTAGAGTGATCTGATCGTTAAATTAATACAACGTAGTTCTTTTGACTCTGCTCTTTGTGAGGCTTGGTCTGTCTCTACTACTTTGACTATGAAGCAATTTGTTTTTATGACAAAAATAGTCTTGGGAAAATGTAGAGTCTTGATTCATTGTGCAACATATTGGGTTTGCGGTTGATGATTTATTTCATCATTGTTGATGCAGGATTGGACGATGAGCGGCGAAGACAAGGTAATTCATTCTTTAATTTTGATTAAATTATGCAAAAAGAAGTCCAACATGTGTTTGGACCAAAAACAATACTCCCTCTGTCGCAGTGTATTTGTCCAATTTAATTTTTTCGAGTCAAACTGGACAAACTTTGAACTTCAATTAAATAAAAACCATAATATATTTTAACATAAAAATGACTATTGAATTTATCGTGTTGATAACTTTCAAATTTGTATTTCATTATATTAATATGCAATACAAATTGAGAGTAATTGAAGTTCAAAGTTTATAAAGTTTGACTCAAAAAAGTCAAACTGGACAAATACATTGAGACAGAGGCAGTAAAACACTACACTCAAGATAAATAATGTGTAATAGAAAAAAATAATGGAAAATGTACATAAAATTCCCAACTTTGCCATAGTCTAGCAAGGAATAAAATTTCAGATCTTATTATAAGTCATGGGACATGGAATTGGGAGATCAATCTTATCCAAGCTCTTCGGTTGTGAGGAAACAGTGTTATGATTTGGGCCAAAGATAAAACGGGAAGATACACGTGAAGAGTATACCTGGCAATTCGGCCAATCAGGTCAGGTTCGAGTTCAGTCGCTTCAAGTTCGGATTATTTTGAGTTTGGATCAATTCAACACCACACACACACAATGTTGACACCATGCAAATATAAGTCCATGCACTTGTTTGTATAAAAGGGAAAATTCAATCAAACGATCGAACATATTATAGAGGAGTACAAACTCATGAATACATAATGCAAATATCTAGTTGTCGCATAACATCATAATTTATGAATTAATAAATTTAAAATACCACAACAACAACAACCCAGTTGATTCCCACTACAGTAGGGTCTGGGGAAGGTGTGTGTACGCAGACCTTACCCCTACTCGAAAGTGGGGAGGCTGTTTCCAAGAGACCCCCGGCTCAATAAATAAATTTAAAACACATTGTAAAAAAAACATAAGTTACAAAGTCACCAAATACTTGACATCCAAACAAATGCAAATGTCAACCCAAAGTTTAGGAAGGAGGATAGGGTGCATCAGCAAGGATTGGCCCAATAAACATAGCTGCATGGTAACACCTGTGTAAATGTAAATTACTAGTACACCAAGCAACCATCAATTCAACCAAAAAATGATTGGGGGGGGGGGGGGGAG